ATAGCGAATTCGGTTGCTTGCACTAGTGTGCACTGAGTGCGCACTAAGGCTTGTTCATAGTATGTTATTATATTTAAAAATTGTCTTAAATAATTCTCAAATAAATTCTCAAATATTTTTAACCATAATATGATATGTATAACATCCGTACGAATCATTTTATTAGTTAAAATGTTTTTAAATATGTATTTAAGACACGATCTTAAATATAAGAATGTACTGTAAACAAGCCTTAATGCGCACTCAGTGCGCACTAGTGCAAGCTACCGAATTCGCTATTAGTTTTACTATAGTTTATGTATCAACTCCACCCAGCGCATTTGCATAGAACATAATTACATTAAAGTGAGTAAAACAATAGATTATAAATATTCTCATGTTTGCTTATAATATTTCTTCATGTAATATATTATTTTTTTAGAATGAATGTAACACAAACAAAAAATAAAATAATAAAATAATAAAATAAATTATAATAATATAATAATAATTATTATTATCTATATAATTCCTGAAATTGTTTTTCTGGGATATCAAAAGGATCTTGAGTATATCTTAAAATTTTTACGCATAGTACGTAAATTCTCGTTTCTTTCGTTTTGTTGCTCATTAACTATCTACCATGCAGCAGCCATCGTAATTGATTAACTTATTATGAATATGGATATTACTTTTTACAAGAAATATCAATTCGCATGAAAGTTTTCACTTTTTCGCACTAAAATTTTCACTTTTTCGCTTTACGTGAAAATTTTCACTTTTTCACGAATTCATCCTAGGTGAAAAGATACATGATCGACCCCCTGGTATAATATTCATCAACAAAACATATTGATTGAATACGTCGCCGTTGATATGCATTGTCGATATTAAGATTATCTAATAGAAAGTTACTATTTAATATGCGCATCAAGTGCACGATGTAAACCAGGCCAGTGACTCTACTTGGAGCCAGAAGAATGGAATGGAGGGAGTGTCGACTTCTACGTCAACATTCGCCATGTTTAACGTTTAGAACATTGAATGGCATGGCGTGTGAATGTTTGGTTTCTTGTTACGTGAATGGCCGGTGACGCGAAGAGGGATCTGACGCGATACAAAGAGGATTTTTTCGTCTGTGAAGTGACGAGATGATCCGTAGCGTCGATCGCACCTCGTAAATGCGATCTTTCGGATCAGAATGCATGGACTTTGGGAGAGGAGCATGTTAATTATTTGCGTTCTCTGCTACCACTTTTTCTCTTGTTACGGTAGGTGCACAACGATCTCGAAACACAGCCCTTAAGAAAAATTACTTTAAGATGTTTAACTTAAAGTTGCTTAAAGTTACTTAAAGTTATTTATAGTTAACGGTAATTGTGAAGAAAACATCCGACCTTATCGATTTTACTAAAATTTGGTAAGATAGTGTATTTTGACGCGTAGAAACCAAATTTGAAAGCCAAAATCGTCGCTCTTTATGGTGAAGCGAGATATTAATTGATAAAGTTGATCACTTTTAAGGTTAGGAAAACTGTCATACCGACGATAACAACGCATGTATATGGCCTGTGGCCTCAGGGAGGTCCAGGGGGAGTTCGGGACTAAAAGTCTCCCGGTTTGACAAAAATAATCTAAAAAAAAAAAGTAAAAATATATCTCGCATGGCATGTTAAGTGTATGTTGTTTTTGTGAAATGTATTATTTTTTTTTTAGAATGTTATTTTTGTCAAACCGGGGGGGGGGGGGGG